AAAGACAAGATTTTAAGCATCTTTCATTGATTTCCACATATTCTATGGAAAGGAAGGAACAGTGGGACCAAAGTTGCTGGGTTTTATGGAAGGGAATAATCTGGCTCACTGTATTTTTGTGCAATTGGAAGCAGCGTATAGTAAGTATAAAAGGTCAGAGTTTCAGTAAAGTCAACTGTTTGCAGAATTTTAAGCATCTTTCATTGATTTCCACATATTCTAGTGAAAGGAAGGAACAGTGGGACCAAAGTTGCTGGGTTTTATGGAAGGGAATAATCTGGCTCACTGTATTTTTGTGCAATTGGAAGCAGCGTATAGTAAAGTCAACCGTTTGCAGACTGACTGAAAGCGAGAGAGAGTTTCGGCATTGTCTCACTCTCTCTTACTAATTTTGGCTCCTTAGCATTGGGAAAAGCATGAGAGAGAGTGAAAGGGAGGATGGCTACCCCCTAAGAACCTGATGGGGTTGGAAAAGGGTTCGTTTGTAAACTGGTTCAAGTGGGCCATCTTGCTGTCTCCTTTCTCTGTGTGCAGGTTTTAAATCTGTGAGCTCTGTCGAGGTTGCTAAGGAGCTCCTTAGCTTCACCCGTGCCAGTTCTGATGTTAGCACTCTGTCAGCTGCTGGAGGGACTCTTTTTTCCTGGAAGCCAAATGGTTTTGTCATGAATTCACTGTTTCCAGGGTTCCTGGCTCCTGGTTCCGGAGCATAAGCCTCCGCTCCTCTGTACTCACTCTATACAGTTGGAATTGTGCACTCCCTTTCTCTTCATCCACTCCAATTGGCCATCGCTGGACATTGCACGTCAGTATCTCTCTTCTGATGAAGCCCTTGTCCTTGCTCCAGTTTTTTCTTTGAAAGTGATTTTCCAACTAATCTTTCCATCAACATTTCCTTTGCTGAAATACTGGAAAACTATCTTGGAAGAAGTAAAATTGAGCCTCTTCAGCATCATTAGCTCTGTATGTTGCTTGTTGGTGGTTTTGCTTTCGTTGGCTGTTTCCCTGATAAAGCTTTCTCCACTTCTTTTGTAGATTTTAAAGTTTGGAAAGAAACATATCTAAGCAAACCTCTTCCACGAAACGTGCTTAAGATGTTAATCTGGTACTTCTTGTCTTCCTGATGCACTTCAAGCCGTGGAGCTGTCCACTGTCAGATAGGTTGTTCCGATGCTTAATGCTACAGGTCAGGGTTTTCTTCAGTCCTTGCTCTGCCTTTCCTTGTAGGCGTGACATCTTTGCTCCGCGCTGAGCCTGAATCTTCTGCAAGACATGCGGGTGAATGGTGGGGTAGCTTGCTTGGTGCGTAATGACATTTAATAGTGGAAATGAGCAGTGGCCATCTTTTGACCTTTGGTCTCATGGATAAAGTTCTGTCAGCAGAGACGATCGTCATAGAACCTCTCGAGTTCCCTAAATGTGGGAAGGAGAGAGAAACAGCTCATCACTGTGGTGGAGTTTACTTTGGCGGTAATGTAAACTCCAAATGATACTTGGAGGCAGCTGGATGCCAAGCTGCAAACTGCCATGGAGATTTTGTTGAATACAGTGTGCTTTTTTTTCAGACACCTTCTGAAGGGAATAAGGTCTTGGGAATGCTTGTCTGATAGGACAAGTCCAAGGTGAGTCCTGGAAGAATGAGAAATACCAAGTCCTTAGCGGAATAGCAACCATCCAGAACCAAAAAATACTTCCACTGTATAGAGAAGATACTGAACACTTTTCCATTACATTCCTAGATGCCTTCAGTTCTGTCTTTGTAGATGAGTTTGTCAGGAAATCTGTATAAAGGAACAGGCTCATCAGCTGTTGGTGTGAACAGTGAGCAGTAGAAGTGGGAGTGTTGGTAGAAGGATTGCTTCACAGCCTCTTCCTTCAGGTCTTTCATTAGGCTTGATTGTTCCTGAAGCCCTCAAAGAGTGGATCAGAAAATAAACCATGGAATTTAGAAATATTGCACAAAGCTGCTTGCCCTTTGCTGCTCTGCAGGGCTGGCAGTGGCTCAGTTACTTTGGATGACATTAGAGCAATATGCGTTTCAGTGTCCATTCAGCTTTTAGGTTGACCTGAGATAGTTTTGGGGAGGTCAGATCAGGGTTTTGGGCTTTTAGGCTGGCCTGAGGTAGTTTGGCAGGGTGGTCAGGTCAGGGGGTTGGGAGCACAAGGGTGACTTAGAGCTCCCTTTCCCCAAAAACTGTTAACAGGATCTTGACTGGAGTTTTCAAACTCATGCAATGCAGGTTAGCTATCTGCCTTCTCACAAAAAGGACTACAGGGATGAGAGGCTGCTAAAATAGAAGGTCCAGATAGTGGAATGATGGCTCCTTTCACCTCCCTGCCGTTGTTGGATCAGTATCTGCAGCGCTGTGAGGTGATTTTGCCCTTCAGCTGCTACAAGAAAGAGGAAAAAGGATGGTTTTACACATCTCTAATCTGGATCATGGTGTGAGTTAAGCTGCTCTGGAGGGTTTTGGTGGACTTTTGAGGGGGTTCCTTTTTGTTTTAACAGATGTAGCGGATTAAAATACGAGTTAATCTGTAGCATCTTACTTTATATGGCTGTGTCCTGGTCACATCCAGGAGTTTCTGCTTACAGCTGAAAGAATCTTGCAGCTGTCAGAAGTATTTGCCCTTTGCTGCCAAGTGGCACAGTGGAAGAGTGGCCTGGATGGCTTTTTCTGCCTTGCACGTGGGCACAATAGTATTCATTTCCTTCCTGAATGTCACTTTCAGTAGTGCATGATGCAGAGAGTCCAGTTCCTCTCTTAGGTTCTGCCTGTAAAGTTGAGGGATGATTGGTGATAGTAAATGCGGGTCTGACCCAGGTGTGTGAAGAGACAGGACCATGAATGCTCCTGGTTTGGTTATGTCACTTCTTTAAGTAGGGAGCTGCGCTTTTACATTGTCAGTGTTCTCACAGGTAGAGAGAGGGGTGTAGGTTTAGTAGGGGCCTGCAGCAAGAAGCACTGGTGCTTTGCAGCAGATGTAGCAAATGTAGAAACCCTGTGGAAGCTATGAATTGCACCGAGTTAACGATCCTGTGCGATAAAGGGTTAACAGCGGGTTGATGAGTGTGGACTCTGCATCAGACAATAGAGAGGACATAGCTGAAATACTCAGCAAGCATGTTTTTAATTGAAATGTAAACAAAGCTGCTTTCATGGGAAGTTCCTTTCAGATACACTTGTTTCTAGCCTGGGAGGAGTTGTACGGCATTTGCGTTCCCTCTGTAGATTACATGCCTGGCTGCCAGTGGGTTTTCACTCTTAGTTTAGGATTTTACACCTGTGAAAATTGGGTATGAACAGAAATGATACTTAGGGTATTTTGTCTTCCATTACAGATGTTGCTCTCCATAGATTTTTCTCCCTTTAGGCTAGTTAAGTTGTGTTTTCTGGGGAGGCTGTAGTAGTCTTTAGACATAAAACATTAGTTTGACCAACCCACCTTCAACTAATCAGCTTTTTCTCAGATAATAGTTAAGGCAAAGTAATATTACTTTATTATCTATCGAAATAATTGCTGAAGGCTTAACATCAGTCTTCGTAACACTTGGGTAAACAGTCTTTGTATTACTGGCGTAGACAAGCACCGCTGTTAGCAGGAATATGGCTCAAATCTTGGGTTGATGCAGCCAGCTTTTCCTGGCTGTGTTCACACCTGTAGGAGAACAACTGTGATGTATCTGATCTATTAGCTAGATACAGGTTCAGATTTCTTTAGCTCTTCCACACCACACCCGTTTCTGAAGTGTTTCCTTAAAGTTAACTTTTGTGGCTGGCATGGCTAAAGTAAGGGGTATAGTTAAAAGACTAAAGTGTTGGCAGTTTTCTGCTGTTTCCTCATCTGGTTAAATGTTTGCTCTGTACAGTATGCGTGCTATGTGAGGAATTCAGATGCTTTTCAGTCAGGGCACTGATTTGCAGATTTTCTTATCTCAGGCATTTCTTTAAAGTACCTTGCACCCTCCTCATTCAAATAATAGCAGAGCGAGCTTTGCCATGAATTGCAGGGAAAAGGCTTATTGAGACTTGTTTCAGCCTTGCTTACAGAGGTAGTGAGAACCTTCTTTCTTTTTACGAGAGAAAGATTTACATGTGGAAAAGATGCATTAACATGATCTTAACTCTTTGTAAGACTGAAATGGTTCCATAACGTTTGTGTGTATTTTTTATCCCTCAATCTTTTGAAGCGTATCCACTCAAGAGACAGGAATTAGAGATCATTTCATCTGTGATTGTCTTACTGGGTTCCAGTCCTGCAAGTGTTGAGGTCAATGGAACTCTCCAGGCGTATGAAGCGATGTGCAGGCGTTTGCAGTATCTTAGTGCATGGCCTTTTCTGAGCTAGAAAATAATGCCCCTGAACGTGGGCTTATGTGAGCAGGTGTTGGACTGCTTTAGACTATGCCAGAATAATTAAATGTAAGCCTCATTAAAGCTTGACTTTACTTATTATTAAAATATTAAAATATACCTGTAAAGAAGGCGTTATTAAAAGGTACCTGTAAAGAAGGGGATTAAATCATTGTGGTATAAAGCTCTTCAATAATAGCATCCACATTATTCCTCATCCAAATGCAGGTGTTTTAATTATAATGGACATAAATACTGTGGGATATAGTTAAGTTGAAAATAGTTCAGACTTAAATAATTTTAGTAACCAATTACTCTGATGCTATTTGAAAGCTATTAGAAAAGTTTACAGTTGCTTTACTTCTTTGTCTGTGTGGTATGAACAAAGTCACACCTGAAATCTCTAGCTCTGCTGGTAACCAAACCCTATGCTGCTCTGTGCTGCTCAGCTGCCTTTCAACCCCAGATCTGTCCTGCTGCTCACATGAGAAGAGTGACAGAAAGCTGGCTCCCTCATCTTCATTCCCTCGCATCAGGTTTTTATACACAGTGGTAACACACTCCTGAACCTTCTCGTCTCTGGGCTGAACAGTCCCAGCCCTATCAGCCCCTGCTCCTATGAAGGATGCTTCAGGCATCGTTGTGGCGATGCGCTGGACTCGCTCGAGAAAGTCCACGTCTCTCTTGTTCTGGGGAGCCCAGAAATGGGCACAGAGCTCCACATGTGGCTTCACTAGCGCTAAGCAGAGAGGAAGGATCACCTCCCTTGACCTGCTGGCAGCCCAGGATATTGTTGATCACCTTTGCCATGAGGTTGCGTTGCTGGCTCATGGCCGGATCCACCAGGATCCTCAGGTCCTTCCCTATGGAGCTGTCTTCCAGCCGGTCGGGCCCCCAGCATGTACTGGTGCCTTGGGATTATCCTTTCTGAGATACAGGAGTTTGCATTTCCCCATGCTGAAATTCTTGAGATTCCTTTAGGCTCATTTCTCCCACTTCCAAATGGCAGCACAACCATCCGGTGTTTCAGTTACTCCTCAGGGTTTTCTTATGTCTGCAGACTTGCTGAGGAAACCTAATCCCACCATTCAGGTTGTTAATGAAGGTGTTGAACAGTACTGGCCCCGGTATCAACCCCTGGGATATTTGCGAGTGACCTGCCTCCTGGTGAACGTGGTGCGGCTGATCACAAGCCTCTGGGCCCAGCCATTCAGCCAGTTTTCAGTCCACCTCACTGTCCACGTACCTGGGCCGTGCTTTGTCAGCTTCTTTATGAGGATGTTACAGAAGCCCGTGGTAAAAGCCTTACTGCAGGGAAGACAGGCAACATCCACTGCCCTTCCCTTAGCCACTAAGCTAGTCAGTTCAAGGAAGGCAGCTACCACGGTTAATCAGCGTGATTTCCCCTTCATAAATCCATGCTGACAACTCTCAGTCATCTTTTCCTTCATGCATTTGGAGGTGGTTTCCAGGGTTAGTTGCTCCTAATCTCAGAGCCTGAGATTAGGCTAGCCAGGCCTGCAGTGATCAGCCTTCATGTCCGGCTTCAAGACAGAAGGGCCATTTGCTGCCTTCCAGTCTTAGAATCATAGAATCACAGAATCACAGAACGGTTTGGGTTGGAAGGGACCTTAAAGACCATCCAGTTCCAACCCCCCTGCCATGGGCAGGGACACCTTCCACTAGACCAGGTTGCTCCAAGCCTCATCCAGCCTGGCCTTGGACACTTCCAGGGATGGGGCATCCACAGCTTCTCTGGGCAACCTGTTCCAGTGCCTCCCCACCCTCTCTGGGAAGCATTTCTTCCTGATATCCAATCTAACCCTCCCCACTTTCAATTTAACCCCGTTACCCCTTGTGCTGTCACTACAGGCCCTTGTAAAAAGTCCCCCCCAGCTTCCTTGTAGCCCCTTCAGGTACTGGAAAACTGCAATGAGGTCTCCTCGGAGCCTCCTCTTCTCCAGGCTGAACAATTGGAATCCCTCCCAATTGTTGTGACCTTTTAAAGGTTATCGAGAGTGGCCTTACAGTGGTATCAGCCAGCACCCTTAGCTCTTGTGGGTGCAACCTGACGGGCCTCAGTCGACTTACGTATGTCCAGTTTGGTTTAAATGCTTCTCTGCTTGGTCCTCCTCCAAGGGTAAGTCTTCCTTTTTCCAGATTTTTCCTGTGGTCTCAGGGGCTTAGGATTCCCAAAGGCCTGTCTTACTGGTAAAGCCTGAAGTGAGGAAGGTTTTGAGTACCTGGGCGTTTTCTGTGTCATTTTCCACCAGGTCCCCTGCCGCGTTAGCAGTCTGAATGAACGCTCCGGTTTTTTGTCCCTTTGGTGCTCAGGTGCACACGGACAGTGCGCACAGCCGCACAGGACACTTGACTAGACCTCCCTGAGCAACGCTGTGTACTGTGGAATGCAAAACCACTTGGAACCAACATCTCTGCTCTCGTTTTGAGGGCTAGAGAACATACCCTGGAGGACTGATCAAACAGTTTGAGTGGTGCAGTTCTGTAATCTTTATTCCCTCTGCCAATTGTCCTGCTGGATGATTTCAGCAATCGTTGTGTTGTGAAATAGAATGTTACTGCTCAAACAAACAAAACCTCTTCTTTATAGTCCTGTATAGCTAAGAGAAAACCAGATTGTTTAATAAACGCTTGTTTCAGTGCAACATCCGTAAAAATGTGCATTGGTTTTTAACTTGCCTTTTACTTTGTTTGCTGCAGAATCTCGAAGTTACACCGGAGCCATTAACCACTCTATGGTGATGTCTGACAGCGCTGTGGGCACTAGACCGGCTTTGCTGAGGGCCAGCATGCAGACGGATCCTTCCTTTCCGCACTGTTTTGCATCTTCGTGTACCGTTTCAAGTAACAGTCCAATCCCAGGGGGAGAAAGGTAGGAAAATATTCTCCTGCCATACTGTTTAGTTCTCATCACTATAGTTTGCAGCCAAAATGTTAGGCTTTTGTCTTCATTGCAGAGCGTTCGCCCAGGGACTTTGAATTTGGTTGTGACATTTCGTGATGATGATGTCCACCAGCTGGAATTCACCACATACAAGGATCTTATTTATATGTCAGGAACACAATTAGCTTTGAAGATGAATTGGAATACAAAAATAAATAGGAATTCATAGTTCAGTTACTTTATTATGTGCTAGCACAAGGTCATACATATTTTCATGTGTGCTTAACCAGCTTCTCTAATGCTTTACTGAAAAGCATTTAATGAGATTTCTCACTGGACTAAGTTGTATATGAGTGAGAGGGAGCACTGTTCTCACTGCAGTATGTGCATTTTTAGTCAGTAAAATGTCAGAGGATTTTGTTTTGGTAGTGAATAGCTGACTCCCATTCAACCGCTCAGCAGGCTGAGATTTTATTATTTTGTATTTCTGCTGTGGTAAACATGTAAGGCTCTGGTCCTGAGCTTGAACAGTCTAAATTTAGAAAACAGTCCTTGTCCTGAGGAGCTTACAGCTTGAGAAATAGCAGCAAACACAGCAAACAAACAAGGGGTCTCAGATTGCTGTTAGGAGGTTAAGAAGACCGCTGTGCCCTGTGTTTACTTAATAGATGAGGTGTACCTTACAGCTGATTAGGTTTTCTTCTCTATCACTCTGCAACAACATTCCTTTGTGGCTAATTATCCTATTCCTGTTCTTGAATAACTGGCTCCTTTTTCACAGTAAGCATTTGGAATGCTGTAGGTTGATGTGTCAGGCTCTCAATGAGATCTTCAAGTATGTTGATACCTATTTATCTTTTATTTATCTTCCCATCTGATTTACTTCATTTTCAATCAGTACTTGGACTGTGCAAGAATGTTGTGTGATTTATGAATATGAATCATAAGACTGAACAAAGTATGTTAGTATTTTCTGTGGAGGCGGCAATGTCACATTTCATTATAACTGGGTATGAATTAGAAGCTTATCAGGCAGTGCAGTCATCAAGTTTACATTCCTACTTCAAACTTTATCTAGGAAATTTTGTTCCCTTTCTTAAATATTTTTTCTGTCATTTTTCATTTCATCTAGCAGAAGCTGTGGGGGTTCTTTTCTGGCAATGATGTCTTCTTCCTTTTGCTTCTATTTTTTTATGGCCTTTCTGCTTTGATCTGTTCAGATCTGCTGGTATCAGTTCCCTTTTAATTAAAAATCCTTTTTTTTTTTTTTTTAATGTATCTTATGTCAGCTCTTTTCCCCTTGCATGTCACCATGAGTTGGTTCTCTCTACATTTGATACTGCTGGTAATGTTTTCCAGCTACAGTCTAAGGACATTTCAGTTCTAGAAGCAAGGAGACGATTTAAACTTATCAGAGAGTTTCATCAGAAGCTTAGTTTGTCTTGTTTAGAAGGATATTTGTTACTCTTCACGTGTGCAGGTGCAATTCCTACCCAGTAGAAAAATCTAATGTTCATTGTTGAAATATTTAATTCTATCAAGCAAAATTATTTCATCATCAAATAAATTAACCACTGGACCTGCCTCCTTCCCTTTTCTTAATGCAAATTGTATTAAAACGGACGTGGTCTACGATTTGGGTCTTGTGGACTGTGTTCTCATCATAGTTACACGTGTTGTGTGATGGTCCCCACTTTCTTTTTTTTTAAATGAGCGTAAGAGCCTCTGCATGTAAGAACTGTTGTGGCCATGTTAGCTTGCTTTCATAGAATCACAGAATCACAGAATGGTTTGGGTTGGAAGGGACCTTAAAGACCATCCAGTTCCAACCCCCCTGCCACGGGCAGGGACACCTTCCACTAGACCAGGTTGCTCCAAGCCTCATCCAGCCTGGCCTTGGACACTTCCAGGGATGGGGCATCCACAGCTTCTCTGGGCAACCTCTCCCAGTGCCTCCCCACCCTCTCCGGGCAGAACTTCTTCCTGATATCCAATCTAAACCTCCTCACTTTCAATTTAAACCCGTTCCCCCTTGTCCTGTCACTACAGGCCCTTGTAAAAAGCCCCCCCCAGCTTCCTTGTAGCCCCTTCAGGCACTGGAAGGGGCTGTAAGGTCTCCCCGGAGCCTTCTCTTCTCCAGGCTGAACAAGCCCAACTCTCTCAGCCTGTCCCCAGAGCAGAGGGGCTCCAGCCCTCTGAGCATCTCCGTGGCCTCCTCTGGACTCGCTCCAAGTGGTCAATATCCTTCTGATATTGAGGGCTCCACAGCTGGACGCAGCACTCCAGGTGGGGTCTCACCAGAGCAGAGCAGAGGGGCAGAATCCCCTCCCTCGACCTGCTGGCCACACTTCTCCTGATGCAGCCCAGGATACGACAGTTTCATAAAACTCTTATCTTTGATGGCAGCCTGGGCTCAAGAAATTCTTGCCTCCTGCTGCTCTTCTCCAGGGAGCACTGCGGCTGACTACATGTAGAGATCTCCAGGACCACTGTATCTGAAGCAGTGCTCTGAACAGCCTCACTGAATTAAAAGTAACCCTCTCAAAGAGGAGGAAGGAGGAGTCTTTTTAACTGTGATTAATTTGATGGTTTGGTTTACGGTGCAGACTCAGAAACTGTCCTGTCAGCGTGGCTGGGTGGAGGGTGAGATGAGGCAGAAAGTAAGGACCTAGACTGAAGAAATGAGTGATCAGGGTGGGGCTGGAATCTGTGGATCCAGCTGCATCCCCAGGTCCAGCGTGTTGCCAAAGAGCACCCTCAGGTATCGTCCTGGGTGAGGCGATGCATTGCTTTCAGTTATCACTGCGGTGTGGGCTGTGCAGGGGCATTTCGAGGGAACGGTTTGTCTGTTTTGTTTTTAGTGTTCAATTTTCGGCTTTTTTTTTGACAGCTCTTCTGCGACGGAACGTCCTTGGCTTGAAAGCAGCCCTAAAGCTTCCCCGTCCCTCCAGCTTTCAATGGGAAACACCAGGCCGCCGGGAGGTTACCTTGTGCCCGCTGAATTTGCAAACGCCGTGCAGGATGTCTCTCTCTTGTCCCATTTCCAAACTCCAGGACTGCAGGTTGTCACCCTGAGCAGCCTGGAGAGTTCACCAGCAGAGACACAGCGAGAACCTGCGGTCAGCAGCAGCGCTCAGGCCTACCTGAGCTACGGCGGGGGCAACATGGGCGGTAGCTCCCCTCAAGAAGAGAAACAAGCTGCTTTCATAGCCAATACTAGCATCTCTCCCAAAACCATGAGCTCCTTGGTGGCAGGTGCTGAGGACAATGGCTTTTTGACACAAAACTTTCTTGCAGCGGCCTCTGGACACGGTAGCCAGAACAGTGCAGTTCAGCAGCAGCATGGAGGGAACATACATGCTCAACCGCCTCTTCCAGAGAAAAAGAGGTCCTCTGAAGGAGACCGTTCCTTTGCCTCCGTGTCACCTTCTTCAAGTGGCTTTTCGAGCCCCCACAGTGGAAGCACGATCAGTATCCCCTTCCCAAATGTCCTCCCGGATTTCTCAAAAATGTTAAGCACTTCCCCCGTGCCAGGTAGGTTCTGCATCAGAGAAGTGTAAAATGCATCAGGTTTTACGAGCTGAAAAACACATTTAGGGAATTCAAAAAGTGGGGAGGGGAAAAAAAATAAAAGGCAGTGGCATGAAAATGGTAGAGAGGACTTGAATGTTTGCAGTAACTGGTGCCAGTTTACTGGCTTTGGATAAATTATTCATAGAACAAGGCTGCAGAATTATTTCTGCACTTCCTAGATGTCAGCCAGGGGCAGCCGACCTTTGGAAGCCGACCTTTGGACTTCCAAACCACAGTCGAGCGGTGTGGAGTCCAGCTTATTTTAGTAAGGACTGGCTTCACTCTGCAGCTTTCTAGACTCGAGTCAGGGATAGTTAAAAATGCAGATGTGCCTTCCCTGGACCCCACTGAGAAGCTTTGCGTTTGATACAGCTTTGTAACTGAGTTCTTCATATTTTGTGGGGTTTGCAAAACGAAACTTCAAAAATACCTTCAGAATCTTAGTGTACATTATTACATTTGCGGGTTCTAAAACAGTCCAGAATCTCTCTCGATTGTCCTTCTAATCATGAGGTTTTTAATAATTAAGGTGATTGGAAGTTGGAAAGAGAGGTAAAAACTGCTTTTGTATTTAAATAATTGTTGATTATTTTTCCCTCTGTTTTATTTCACAGAAAACACGACTGATAAACATGTGACCGTAAAATTTGTCCAGGACACATCCAAGTTCTGGTATAAGCCAGATATTTCAAGAGAACAAGGTATATCAACTGCTAGGTATTCTGGCATATCCATTCACAGAAAGGCCAGTTGGTGAATTCTCCTTAAATTTTCATTGATGCCTGCCTGATGTCTAGAAGAAATGAAGAAATATAAAACCTAGATGGGCCACAGACAACCTCACTTAGTTTCTTTTATCCAAAAGCTGAATTTGAGAGTGGAGGGGCATGCAAGTAGTCCTTAAAAAATACTCAGTTATTCAGGCAAATGGTTGGCCTAACTGAACTAACTACAGAGTAATTTAAATCTACCAGTGGGAGCTGCTGCAGATGTACTTTACTGAAACGCTCCAGGTTACGGAACGACAGGCATGCATGATGCAGTACTAAACTGTCTGCTCTTGGAAACCTTCTGTGAGTACAGATAGCTACTCTGTCGTGATCTCAGCCGTGTGTGTTTGCCTGCACAGATAATAGGTTGAGAGACGCTAAGTGTCATAGTTCATTAGCCAGAAGTCATCATGAAAACATCCTCATCTACCCGTTGTTCTGTAGCCTGAATTTCATTGTCAGCTGCAAATGACATACATTATTCCTTAAAGATCATGAAATAACACTCCCATGGAACAACATCTTTATGGTGTACCCTACAGATCTAGTACGTCTGCATGTAGATGTATTATTGAGTGAGGTGGAGAAAGCTTTTACTGTGCACGTGAAAATGAATTTATACCTTCTCCCTGCAGCGATGTGTAAATTAAACATAATGGGTGCTTTGCAAATGCAATTGGCCTGACGGTCCTTGCGTCCGTATTGTAATATTTAGCTATACTAATGGTACTTAATGAGTTATGGCAAGATTTTAAACTGAGATTCTTAAAGTGTGGTTGTCGGAATGGAAAAATGACGAATTAGTTCTGCGTTGGGAAGGAAGTTCAAGCTAAACCAAAATAGCCTTGAGCTGTTGGCAAACGATGAATTGCTGTGTCTGTCTAGTCCGTAGTTTCTCAAATGGTCAGGATGCCTTTATAGTGTAGTGGTAAATATGAGCCCAGGGGAATAAAGATCATAGAAAACAGATGATTAATTCATCTTTGGATGATGTTTTACTGCTCCTTTCACTCCGGTCCCCTTTTGTCTGCTTGCTCCTCACCCATAATGAGAACTGATTTAAATGTGGAAAAAAAAATTCCTGACTTGATGTGAGTCCAGAGAGGGGAGTGGATCATAAAGGAAATTTATACCAAGTTGCTTGAAAAGAAAATCTTCCCAACCTTTTCGTATGCCTCTTTTCACCCTATGAAGTAAAATTCTTTTTAAAATGTGTTTTAAGATCCTGTGGCTGAGGAGGGGGAGCACTTGCTCTTCTTTCCTGCGCTTAATGGACTGCTCTGGTGTCAAATGATTAGTGTCCCCCTGCGGAAGTGCTCTGCGGGTACTGCTGAACTGCAGGGTTTTATATATTCTTCCTCTTCTCAGCTCATGACAGGTTATTGTGAATATAGTTGTTTTCTTCACCGTCTGACAGATGAATACAACAGAATACACATATGCATTTGGTTCAGTCCCTTAAACAGGGGAGACAGTTACATCTGCATTCCCCTGGTCTCCTGTTACTACTCTTTTTTTAATGGAAAAAAAGAACAGTATGTGTGTGTGTTTATGATGTAGTCATTGCTCAGGCCTTGCAAAATATGGCTTCATGCCCCATATGCGTAATTTCCGTGTTCTGTATATACAGACAGTTAAGGACTCCAGGATCAAATTTGGGCTTTTTCCAGGGTTTCTTTGAAGTCTTGCTGATCGTTAGAAATTCTGGAAACAAACACAAATATTTCCAAAACGTTGTGGGGGGGAAGTCAAAGTACAAAGGTTTTATAAGATCAAATTAAGATCAATCATTAGTTGAACCTTTGTCTGTTTTTTGAAGTGAGTTTAAGATTTTGGGCTACTAGATTTCAAAATCTGCAGGAGGCTCTTGCAAAGCAAGAGCAGTTTTCCTGCAAATGGTTCCTCCTGGGGACTACTTCATATCACACTTCCAGCAGAGATCACAAAATAGAGATGCAAATTACTTCACTGCTTGGACAGTCAAAGAGTGAATATTATAAAAGAGCAAATACTCACCTCCCTTCCCTTGGTTTAAAACGAGTAAGGGAGTGAGACCGCTTTGCAGGGATAGAAACGTGGTGGTGATGAAAATGGATCTGCTCTGCCCGTTGAAGCTGTGTATGAAGAGGAAGACGGTGCTGTCTAGTCAGCCTGGGAGTTACAGGCGCTGTGCTGCCTGTCGTGCTTCTGGCAAGCTGACAGAATGTAAGCAGGGATCAGCTTGTTCCTGCCCTGGTTGTAGGCATCCTGGTGGGACCTGCACATCCTTCTCAGTTTAAAAATCAGTAGGGATCTGTACTTCAGGGTTCTCTTGAAATAAGTATCTGTGAGATATGCACGAGATGTTTCCACTCAGATGCCCCAAATATGCTTGGCTGTATTCTGTTCTGCAGCAGTGGAGGCAGAGAAAAGGATCTCCCTCCCCTCAGTCTCCGATTACTTACAGATTGGCGCTTCTGTACTTTTTGGGTATGTGCGTTGTGCTGGAACTGCTTTTTCTCTCTCTTTCCCCGAATCCCTTGTAGCCATTGCTGTTCTCAAGGACAAGGAACCTGGGTCATTCATCGTTCGAGACAGTCATTCTTTCCGGGGAGCCTACGGGCTGGCGATGAAAGTTGCTACGCCGCCTCCTTCTGTGCTGCAGTTGAACAAGAAAGGTACCGTCTGCCCTCTGTCTATTGCTTAACACGGCATTGGTAGTAGGAAGCCCATGTTACTGGGTAATAATCTGGAGGAATCTCCCCTCTTGTAGTAAGTGCATCTTGAATTACAGGTTCCGTTTGGTACCTTGTTAAAAGATACTGGGGGTCTGTTGTGCTTCACAGTTTCGCCGTGGGGTGTAAACCCGTCCCCGTTGTGGCTGTGCCTGTGTTGTATCTTATCGACCTAATGGAAAACCAACGTCATCTCGGCAATGGCTCCTCCCTAGCAAGCAGAAGTCTGCATTTGTTCCACGTACCACCATGTAAAGCTTTCACTCGGCTGAAAGGTTGATTTTGACCCCAAGGTTTTGTTTTGAGAAATACCTACACCTGAGGAGGCTCCCTAAGGAAAGATGGTCGTTGTTTAAAAGAAGTGGTGAAATACACCTACTCTCGTAGCACCAGTGCCTCCATATGTAGCTTGTGCCTGATAGTTGTGACAGGTAAAAGAAAAAGAACATAGGGAAAGTGTTAATCAGTGTATGGAAACTCAGCAGCCACTGTCTGTAGCGTCCTTGGCTCCGTTTGTGCTACTGCAAGGGTAGTGGGGTGGTTTTCATTACTCTGCTCTGGTGAGACCCCACCTGGAGTGCTGCGTCCAGCTGTGGAGCCCTCAGCATCAGAAGGATATAGACCGGTTGGAGCGAGTCCAGAGGAGGCCACAAAGATGATCAGAGGGCTGGAGCCCCTCTGCTATGACGAAAGGCTGCAAGAATTGGGCTGTTCAGCCTGGAGAAGAGGAGGCTCCGAGGAGACCTCATTGCAGCTTTCCAGTACCTGAAGGGGGCCTACAAGGGTACTGGGAGAGGACTTTTTACAAGAGCCGGTAGTGATAGGACAAGGGGTAATGGGTATAAATTGAAAACAGGGAGGGTTAGATTAGATGTCAGGAAGAAATTCTTCACAGAGAGAGTGGTGAGGCACTGGAACAGGTTGCCCAGAGAAGCTGGGGATGCCCCATCCCTGGAAGTGTCCAAGGCCAGGCTGGATGAGGCTGGGAGCAACCTGGTCTAGTGGAAGGTGTCCCTGCCCATGGCAGGGGGTTGGAACTGGATGGTCTTTAAGGTCCCTTCCAACCCAAACCATTCTGTGATTCTATGATTCATTGCTGCTGGTTTCCTTTTAGAGAGCTTACTATGTTTCATTAGTCCATGCTGCCTGGTGGTGAGGTAAGCAGCTGAGATCAAAAGAAAGCAGTGATTCTTAGTGTCGTGGTTATGGAAGCATGGGTTCCTCTGTGGTTGGTTGGTTATTCGGCTGTTGGTTTGTTTGTTGTGTTTTTTTAAGATTTCATGCTTACTGTGGGACAAGGTTAGCAGTCCACCTCTACTACAGTAACGCTTTCAAATTCTCTGCTCTTGAGACGACTTGTAATAAAAATTTGCCATGTAATCCTGGTTTTTATCATCAAGAAAGATCAGCAGGACCGCTGCAATGTCTTACTTCATGAAGACAACAGGGGTGCACTGGGGTGGTGATAGCAACAACAAGGAGGCAAATGGAGAGTGGCTGTGGGTGGGTTCAGTAATCTCTTTTTTTTATCATCAGATGAGTGAACTCCAGGAAGACGTGAAAGTTCAGTCTCTACTAGCCTTTAAGAGGCAGTTTGTGTTGATTGTGCCACAGGCAAGTGGCAGTAAGAGGAAATTTTAGTTGAGACTGTAGCATTTTTCCACTTCTCACTCTGCGGTATTTAGCAATCTTTTCTTGCAGAGAGGCTTCTGCTGACCAGATTAATGTGTTCATTTGTATTAGCCTGAAAGTCAACCCTGGATGTCACGTGTTTCCTGGACTGTGGCTGATAGAGATCAGAGTCAAAGGGAGCATTTGTGGTTCTGGCTCTTTTGTTAAGGTTTGAATGGCTGGGTAGCTTTGTCCTGTTGCTATGGAATAACCCTTTAACTACTTGGAGAGAGAGTCAGTTTGTAGTCAGGTGTGAAATACTGTGAACCAGTCTTTCCAGAAATAATGAAGTTGTCTTAATTATACATTTGCATATGTATGTATGTGTTTAAAAGAATGCTAAATCTGAAGGGAATTTTTATTTAAATTTATCCTCTTGGACTTTGAATCTCTGTTACATCCAACTTAACAGTTTGGACTTGTCCTAGATTCCTGAGATAAAAACTGTCTTTAAGAATCTAGTGAAACCTGAGTATTTCATGTAATTGTTTGTTTTCAGGAGCAAAGGCTTAGCGTAAAACTGCACGCATGTTAAAACTTAAAAATTCACTGAGAGACTTGTCATCATGACCTTTGTGTAGCCAAATCTCCTATTGTTTTAATCTGGAAAAGTTCTGCAAGCAGAATTTTATCATATTTTTCCTCCGTTGTCACACTGGATACAAGTTCGTCTGTTGGGCAAGTGCATGAGAATTTCTGATCATTTTCCACATTTCTGTTCCTGTCTGTAGTTGGGACGGTGCTTGGACATTTTGGGCAGCAGTGTATGTTTGGATGTCAGTCACTTTAGATCATAAAGCCTTTTCTTCAGGTTGTCTGAAGTGAGCTATTTGCTTGTTTGGTGGTTTGTTTTTTGGGGTTGGTTGGTTTGTTTGTTTGTTTTTCCAAACGGCCTTTCTTACTACAGCTGGTAACCTTGCAGCAGAGCAGGTCTTTGCATGCTGTACATAAAACACTGGGTGGTAATGTGGAAAACTGCTTCATAAAGACCTGCTAATTTGTGAGACTGTTGTCTGTTCATTGCTTCTCTTCATGAGCCTTCTTTTTCTTTTTCGACACAGTTGGAGATTTGTCAAATGAACTTGTAAGGCATTTTCTGATTGAATGCACTCACAAGGGAGTGCGCTTGAAAGGATGCCCAAATGAACCGTATTTTGGTAAGTACTGTGCATCACAGGGATGCAGAAAATAGAAACAGTTTGCATTCGCCGGAGCTGTTTCATAGGCTTGGATGGAGTGCAAATGAGGGAATACTTTGCTCAAGTCGGGATGGTTCCTGTGGGAACCCATTCTAAGGTTATAGGAGGAGCCTTGTACACATTGACCTTTACATATATGTGCAGGGCACGGCAGCATGGATGCACATGGCCAAGCTTCAAGCAGTCATGCCACTACCAGTGCTGCGGCAGGCAGCTGAGCTAGATGACTTACAGGCCTTACTGATTTAAGGCCTTTGCCTTATTTTTGTCCCATGCTGTATTTATACTCTATACTGGCTGCCTAAAATGACACCAGAGTGGGACGTTCACAAAGTACATTATGCTGCACCAGCCTGCCTGATGTACTGCAATGAAAGCGCGTTACCTGTTGTGGCAAACAGCCAAACCCCTGCCTAGCTGGTCGCTCATTTGCGTTCCTGAGTGGGGCAGGAGGGGAAAATAAGATGAGTAGTAGGTCGAGATAAGGATGGGGAGGCTGCTAACCAGTTACTGCTTTGGGCAAAAGAGTCTCAACTTGGGGAAAATAATTTTTTTTCCAATTAAATTGATATTCAGGCAGTGAGAAACAAAGGCAAACATTAAAATAACACTTTTCCTTCCCCTTTTCCTAAGCTCAAGTTCACGGCATCCCTCCAGATTTCTCAGCCTCACTGAAGCAGTGCGGGAGGGGACAGGGGGGTATATTGTCATTACAGAATAGCTCCTCTCTGCTTCTCCATCCTTCTCCCACTTTCTCCCTGTTGAGGTCTGGGCTTTCCCCATGGGCTGCCGTCCTTCAGGAAAATTCCGCTGCAGCATGAGCTCTCCATGGGCCACAGTTCCTTCAGGCAACGTCCATCTGCTCCAATGTGAGGTCCTCCACGGGCTGCAGGGTGCCTTGAGCACCTCCTTCTCTGCCCATGGTGTACCCTCTGCTGTGTCTCACCCTGTTGGTTTCCCTCTTGTCTCTCTAGCCTTTCCTCTCCTTTGAGCACCTCCTTCTCTGCCCATGGTGTACCCTCTGCTGTGTCTCACCCTGTTGGTTTCCCTCTTGTCTCTGTGTAGCCTTTTCTCTCCTTTCTTAGATAGGCTTTCCCAGATCCAAGATGGCCTCTTCCCACAGAGGACACCCTGCAGCCCTCCCATCCCTGCTACCAGCCCTACATACACCCAACACACCTGTGAAAGGGTCATGTACCATAAAACGAACAAGTGTAATATGACAAATTCCATTTGAAGTGAAGGTGGATTCAGTGTTTGGCATGAGACTTATTACAGATTTTTAGCCCATTCCTAGTCTTAGTCTTGAAGTACCTGTTCGTGGCACACGTGTAGCCCTGCTAATCGTGTAGTTTGAGCATCTCCTCATCTTTCAATGTATACAGCCTCAAAACAGCTTCACAAAGTAGGTGGGCAGGCACTGTCATACGCTTGTATGGGTAAGACAGTGAAGGACTAATAGTATCAATTGGTATTTCTTGGTAAGGCCCTCGCAGAATTGGGTCATCTTCCCATTTCAAAGAAATTTCTGATGGGCTGCAAAATTGAGGTGGGTTTTCGTTGAACTGTGATTTTTCTCAAGGGCACGATTATAATGTTCAATGTTTGTGAGTAAATGGGATCGAAAGATGGCTTTTTGCACAGACTGAATATTATGCCTTCCTCTCACTCCTCTTTAGAGTCTTAAGTGCTAATGTCAAGGATGAATAATGTTTAACTATTTTAATCAAGCCAAGTCCTAATGGCAAAAGGGACTTGGAATAGGAAAGAAGAATAATTCAGTAGAGAATGCTGCATACGTCACCGCCGCGTGGAGCGGAGGAGGCTTTATTTAGACCATCTTTTACACTTATTAAAGCACAAAATAGAGGTGTGTGTAGAGAGAGCACCAGACAGTGGAGACTAGGTGGCTAAGAGCCAGAACGCCTTGCTTTTTCTCTGCCTTACCGCATAGCATTGACTCCTTGTGCTCTTACCATCTTCATAAGATTTTACATTTGATGTAGCAGAAGCTAAGAGCATTGAAAGGAATTTACTGACTTCCATATGTTACTGTTTTTGTAGTTCGTGTGCTTTCTCCATTTGAAGCCTAGCCATTTAGGTGAGGATTTAAGCAGTGTGTTTAAAGCAGGGAAAGGGAGCATATGATTGTGATTAATGAGTTCAAGTACCTCCAACTGGGACAGTGCTGGGAAACATGAATACCCTACAGTTGACCGAAGAGGGTCTTGGCTTAGGTGCCAAGAGTGTGTTTTTAAAGGGCAGTAGGGGTAGGCCCCTTGGTCTAAAATACTTGAGAGCCAGCGTAACTGTTAAGCATTCTTGTTGTCCACCAGGTTAACTGTCTTGTTACTCTTCTGACCGCAGGGAGTTTGACAGCTCTGGTGTATCAGCATTCCATCACTCCACTGGCATTGCCCTGCAAGCTCCTCATCCCAGACAGAGGTATGTTTGTTAAAGTACGGAAGAGGTGCCCAGCCAAGCTCTGCTTCGAAGTGCCACTGTCTGAAGGCAGGTGAACATGTCACAAGTCAGGATCGAAGCAGAATCGCACCGGGAAGGAAGCTGTGTTTTTAAAGTGGTTCTTCAGTACCGCTGATGGCTCTTCTCCAAGCTGTAGTTGTGAGCAGACTAGTACTGTGATATTCCAGTCATAAACATACATGCGTCATGGAAATCAGCACAGTCATCTAGCATGTAGGAAGGCAGAGGCATTTCTCAGACATGAAATTATGCCCATGTATGGTTAAATGTAACGACTCACTCGGGCCTGAGTAGCCAAAGGGCTTCAGGCGAGGCAAGTGGTTAAAGAAGGTGCCCCGAGCGTGACACGGGCAGGTGGGCAGGAGCAACTTACACAGGTTCAACGATGGCTTAAGTAAATGATCAAAAGCCTGTGTTGCATCGTTGCACTGTAACTCTCATTTTGGTTATGGGGATTTCATAAGACAACAGCAAAATGTAGCTGTGCTTGTGCCCTATAATTCAGTTGTTACTCTCCCACATGAACTTAACACCAGATGTATTACTGAAATGTTAAACATTCTTGTGGTTTTTCTGCTGAACTCTTGAAGCTTTTGTTAAAGGCCGTATGTCAGTGTTTAAACATAGCATTTGAATTATGCAGATGCGTTAAGGAAACCATTTTAGCACAAAAGCACTCAATGGTAGATGTGACCAGAGATCTCTTAATATGGCAAACCAGTGTGGTAGCTGGGCCTGTTCTCCTTACCCTCCTCGCCTAAAATGGAAAGCTCCTTCTCTTCTGGGAGAGGTGCAGGACTGAAACGTTTGCCTTGTCCTGAATAAACATCCCATGGTGAAATTTTATTTTGCATTTGGTTTTGAATCCGATATGGTCACGCATTTTAAGATGATCTTTTGTGGTTAATGATTTCGGGACACTGTGTGTGAAGTACTTGGAGTGTATGGGTAACTCTAAACCTGTGGGTAGTGTCACGCACCGTGTTACTGCTCTCTTCCTCGTCTGAATTTATTCAAAGACAGGTTGCATCATGTTAAATAAAGGTGTATGTGCAGTCTTTGTACATGCATTTATATAACTGAAATAATATACTGATGGACAGTTTTCTCACTGATTATAAAGGAAGACTGGGAGGCAGACATTCCACTGCTGTCTTAATAGTTCAGATGTTTGTTTTCTGCATAAGTATGAAGAAAGAAGTATTATGTTGTCATCTTCTGAATCAAAACACAATTAATTGATTTCTTCGTAGAAACACGAAGCCTTTGTGCCTACATAGTGTGCATTACACAAATTAAAAGTGATATTTTAAAAATGTTGAGGTCATAATGAGGGCACAGAGCTATTTGTATGGTTTTAATGTGACATCATGTGTGTCCCTGTAGCAGATGCTATGTAGTTTTGTCTTCTACTGTCAGGAAATAAAGGTTGCACAGCACCGGAGGCAAAAAAAAACTGATGCAGAACAAAAACCACATGAGTGATTACAGTTGCAGATACAAGATTGTTTCATGATTCTGGCCAAGAGTTGTCCAGTAGATGAGGTTGCAGTTACAAAAGCTGAATTCCTACTTGACCTTGTGCGTTGACTTGTTGACAAATCAAACAAGACGTGAACAGTGTTTCTGTTTGCAGATCCCTTGGAGGAGATAGCAGAAACTTCTCCACAGACTGCGGCAAACTCGGCAGCGGAGCTTCTCAAACAGGGTGCAGGTCTGTTAAACTTTTTCCTTCTATTTGACTGCCACCAAATTTTGTATCTTCCAGGCTGGGAGAAGATGGAGGTTAGAGTGGACTGAAGGATGTTTAAAGGGAGCAGTTAAATTTGGAGTGCTGTGTAGAAGTGTAAAGGCCACTGTGAGGATATGTACCAAGTTCTTTGTTTTCTGCAACCACCTCCTAAGTTCTACCACCCTGTGTTTGCTTTTTAGTTCTGTCCCCCATGGGAATATGAGGTATACCTAGCAATTTTTAAGCGGTGATGTTGGTTTCGTCGCTGATGAATTTAGACAAGGGATTCTCAACCTGTGGTTTCAGAGGTTCGTGAACTATGTCTGAGGTCTGCAAAAGGCAGCTAAGGAAAGCGTTCGGTTATGTTCTCAGCACAGGGGTCAGCACCACCACTGGAAAATGCTTACTGTCCCATCAGCCGGAAAAAATTAAATTGTAAAAGACACTGCCCTGTGCTTCACTTGATGCTGCTGTTAGGAAATGTCCGGTGTCGTTTGGATTCTGGGTTACGGATTCCCGTGCATACTGCAGCACCCGTTCTGTCAAGTGAAGTTGTCGTACTGCGAGTTCTCTGGTGTGACAGAAGAACCCTGACAAGAATACCTCCAAATGATGTGGCGCTGTGCGTTGGCACCCTCTGCATCGCCCTCGAGTAGAGGTGTTTGTGTAGAGACGTGCTCTGCTTCTCATCTGCTTCGCGTCTGTGCAGCTGACCCAGAGACAGCTAGTGCCTGTCTGAAAAAGGGTGATAGCGTCCCAGCCCACCGTTCAAGGGACACAGTGGTCTGATTTCCCCTTCGTAATCTTAAGGCTGTCCTCAGCAATGCAGCCACTGTGTTATTCCCCTGTACAGTGGGCATGCTCAGGGCATCCTGTCCGTGCCCTCCCACGGTCCCTGGTTTTCAGGCTGCTGTGAATTCTCCCCAGAATCCTTCTGTCCACTTCACTAGTCCCATCAGAGCAGGAGAATACACTACATTTCCCACTCGCCTTTGAGTTTAGCCTACCACTAGAGCCACAGGCAAGCGTGTTGTGGCCTTTTTGAGAATGCTGCCTCATTTTGGGGCACTGCTGAAGGGGGCTGTTGCCAAGCTGAGCAGCTCTGGAGAGAGTGAGCGTTGCTGCTTGCTTGTGCAGCCGTCTGTTTTGACTTAAAAATTTGAAGTACCACTTCAAGTGCTGTCATGAAGGAGGAATGTGTGGCTGAGGCAACGGCAAGCCTTTGCGAGGCCGTGCCAGGAGTGAGCCCGTGTTGGCCTTTCTGTCTGACAGTGCTGGTGGTGTTTGTTCTGGCCAACAGGGGAAAAAAGCAAGGAGAATTAATTTTTCCAGAACTTTAAAGGGGCATGTGCTCTCTTTTCAGAAATGTTGGTTTCTCCTTGCTCAGGCAAAGCTTTTCAAAGAAAAACAATTTTTACTTCAGTTGGGGCAGTAGTCTGTTAACTCCTTATGGGGCTGTCACATAATGGATCATTTGGGGAACGTCATTCCTTTGGTTTTCCCTTGTGCTGTTGGTTTTGCTTTTGTTTTTAAACACAGGTTTAGAACCTGAATAGATAAATTAGCTGCGAGAGATCCTCAGATTCTCTTTTTTGCCTTGATACATCATTTCCCACTGATTTTTCTATGTTTCAGAGATCCTTCTCCAGCCATAGAGACATTGTTGTGGAGTGCAGATCCAAAACTTGTAAATTGTGTCTTTTCCAGCTCTCTGAGCTTGCGTGTTCACCTGCAGTTCAGTCAAGGCAAACGCACTTTTTCCCTCTCCCACTCCACAAGCAAAAAAACATGAAGATGTGTTTTCCTCGAATGATAACTTTTTATAGCTGTCTGAAAAACCTAATAAGCATTTCCAGTAATTATCTAAATGCAGGAGCTGACCAGAAATCCTTTGCTTCCTAAAGAGTGACAATTGAAGACTAGAGACTATACAGATAAGCAGTTTTTTCCTAGAATAGACCTTGCTTTGTTAACCTTCCCCTTCGGCAGCAAAATTTTCTGCCCCAAATAAGTCCCAGTTCTTCCTCTCTCTTTCCACAAATACGGTCAATTCCAAACAAAGCACATTCCCAGGCTAAAAGCAGCAGGGGTTCGAAAGACACAGATACCTTCCTTTTGTTCTGACCTTGAGTATGGTTTCTGTGGGATCCCTGTCATTTGACACCTTGAGCGTTCTTTCAGCCTTTCTCATTACCTTTCCTTTCCTGTAAACTTTTTAAGCTGACATTTTCGCACTTTCCAGCACTTTCCAAAAAGATCCCTTATTCTTAATTAGTTTTTGCGCCGCAAAAGTAAAGGAATCCACCGCATTTGGTGACAGCCTTTGGACTGTCACCTTGGGGGCAGTCTAGGTAAAGTGCTTGGGTATTTCATTTAGAAAGAAAACCTGAAGCCAGTCCAATGACACCACTGCCACGTGTGGAAGAAGAGGAAGGGAAGCCCTTCATCTGGGTCTCGGCGTTGGTGAGGAGTGTGACTGTGAACCAAGACAAGCTGCTTGTGGTGGGAAAGGCTGACAGGATATTCAAGAGCCCTAGGTCTGTGCCAAACATACCCAGTAATGATGTGAGAAGAGGAGAGCTCATGGTTTGGAATGTTATTTACAACTTTGGATAGATAAGACAGAAAGCTGTTCCACAAGGAGGGCCTCATTAAACTTGCCATTCATCGTCTTAAATCCCTCTCTGCACGAATTGTACAGCAGTTGGTTGAAACAAAGGTTGTTGAAACTGTCACACCAGTGCACGATTCCGTTTGGGAAATTTTACATGTACAGATCAAAGAGGTCAGATCTCTGGCTCCTTCCTTTCACCGACAGACTCCAGGGCGTACAGTTCCTGGGCCGATCGTCACACACTGGAATCAAACTTGGGCAGACACAGTCTTCCACTGTGCGATGCCTTGGTGGTTTTGCAAGTGCCTCTGTCTAGCTGTGTGTTTAATGTAGATAGTCACAGGAGGAAGCTTTACTCAGATTACAGAATAGCTCTATGAAAAGAGAAGCTGTTGGATTAATAGATCTTTGCCCTCATAGTAAGGTTGGCAAGCCAAGCTAAACTGCTAGACGTATGAAATACTATCCTGGTAATCTGCTTATGTCAGCTGCCAGAGTTGTAAATTCTGTCCTGGATACCCACACAAATGTTTTTACCGAAACACAAAGTCTATTGGTATCAGCATTGGGCTACGCATGTGCTTCATCATTCTCGCTTCTGCTGTAGAATAAGACCAAGAGGGCTTTTCACTTGCAAAAATGTCCTTAATCTGCCTGTAAATTTATACCACAGACCCAAAGTATTTAAGCATGTGAATGATTGCATTAATACTTTATAAAAATACTACTATATAATAATATCACAATTAATACTGTGCAATGTTACATGGCACTGTTGCCATGTAGTGCTATCTGCAGTACTCTAGTAGTACTATATAACGCTGTATAATATCAGTACTTGTTTTCCTGATATTTACTGCAGATTTAATAATAGAAATTAACTGTTCAGTAACCTTAGGAACCAATGAGCTTCTCTCCTATTGCGTCTCTAAAGAGACACTTCAGAAGTCACTAATCTCTCTCTAGGAGAGGAATAAGGCCTTTAAAAAGAAGTGCATGCTGAGGTAAAGAGTAGACCTAAAAATATGTACGTCAGTAATTCTTCTCAATGTGGAAGTTGTTTTGTTTACCCTAAAATCGTTAAACATACAAACCACTATGGAATTAATGAGAAGAGGGCTTTGCAGCAACCCTCCATTCTGTGTGGGGTGAAAATGTTCTTGTCTTGCCAGAGAAGTGAGTGGTTTCCTTTGAATATGGTTTGAATACCGTTCGAAAGAGTAAAGCGTGCGAACGCATGCTGAAAAGACGTGGGAGTTTTATTGGCTTCTGTAGTTGGACTTAAAAGCAAATTCCTGGAATGCCTTTGCTGTAGTAGTAGCTGTGAGTGGCCTCTCTCTCTGCCGCTGTCTTGTATTTATTTAAACTGCAGGATCTGAGGGTAATATAGTCATTGGCTTGAATATAAAAGTATTAAAAACAAAGGGACAGCAAAAGGCCTGTGACCTCCAAAATTACAGTTAAAGTGTGAAGCAACAGCGGGACAAGGTGAGGCACACGTAGAAGGTTTGGTAGTTTGCTGCCAGTCTTCCCTGTTTGCTTCACAAAGGTGGAAAATTTACGTTTTGTTTGGGTTTGTTCAGAAGACAGCTGTTTTCTTGCGATTGGGTAATGACCTCTCAAAGTCTTTCCCCTCTGTCTTTCCAGCGTGTAACGTTTGGTACCTGAATTCGGTGGAGATGGAGTCCCTGACGGGCTACCAGGCGGTACAGAAAGCCTTGAGCCTGACGCTGATGCAGGATCCTTCTCCCACGTCAACCGTTGTCCATTTCAAGGTGTCTGCGCAGGGAATCACGCTGACAGATAATCAACGAAAGTAAGTGCAGGAGGGATGGGAAGAGAATCTCTGGCCTTGTCCCCAGCAAGTGTTGGCTGCTGTTGATTTGGTTTTCCCGGTTCTGTTCTGCAGTCTCTGTCTCAGAGGGTAGTAGGATAAAGAATGACGCTGACGGTGTCAGCCGCCTGTAGTGCTGGAGTATGAATGTTTGAAGCCAGGGACATTGCGTCCACGTGGCAGCCTTTACCTCTGAAAGGTCGCTTTCCCATGACGTTTTTATTAATTGTTGTTAATTCTTATAAAAAGGGAAAGTAATGGCTTTGCCAGTATTTGATATTCAGCCTATTCAGTGAATTAACCTATCTTCACAGTATCTTTCACCACTGTGACTGAACAGAGTTGGCCTAAGATGACACTGTATCTCCAGTATTTGAAATAGTGCTTTGGATAGCCTGTAAAATTCCATGATAACAAGGTAGTTTCTGTTTACTTTGTACTGAATGCTGTTAAGGCTACCACAGAGTCTTTAGCTTTGAAAACTGACAGTAACAAAGAAGGGACAACAGGAATTGGTTATAGGTTTAAAAAAAAATAAGGCCAGACTTTTTTTAGGGATGCCATCCAGACAGGCTGGAGAGGTGGGCCAC